ATGGGGATAGGAATGAGAATGAATATGATTTTAAATTTTTATTGGATACGAGAATGGGGACGGATAATATAATACTTGCCGTACCTTATATATATTTTTATATTTAGTAAATAAAATTTTTATTACATAATATAAATTATTATTTTAGGTTAATTAGAATTAATATATTTTTATTGAAAAATATATATTAATATATATTTATAAAAAAATTACTTAAATATATAGGATAAAAACAAAAATAAAAAGTTAAAACAATAAATTTTAGTTTTTATTTTTTTTAAGTTAAGGGTATGGAGATTACCTATACCCATTAAATACCTGCAAGGATATAAATAATTCAAAATATCTGTTGGATATAAATATAAAGATGAATATAATATAAAAATACGAGAATAAAAATACTCTATCGTACCCATACCCTACCATTGACATCGCTAACCAAAACTCTATATATACAAAAACATATTTCACTTTTACCCTCGATTTGACAACTTCAAACTAAAATGCCTGTATTTATGATACGAGTAGCTATAACTCCTCATGCTTGGCTCATCAGATTCTTGGACCAAGTGTATTAATTGTTGGGAATAAATGACACACCATAGAAGGGAAAATCCATTTTATCTACCAATAATGAACTCTTGGCTTTAATAATCCAAATTTAATTCAGACAATTTCAAATACCAGAAAAGAAAACATCTACTCTAATTCCTACAACAAGTGTCCGTCTGCCACCGGCTTTTAACAATTTCATATGATCAAAAAGCTCCTTACAACATCCGTAACTTTGACTCATTCAATGACCCTTTTGAGGTAGCATTCAATTAGTTTGGAATTCAAATTCTAATACTTACAAACCCTTTTTCTATTCCTGGATTGCAACTTTCTATATAAAAACTCTTTACGCCATTAAAACTGCAAAAAATAGCTTGTATTTTATCTAATTAATCATCTCCATACAAAAGTAATCTTTTTTCTTTTATCAATTAAAGACAGGAAATTTATAAATGTGCATCCTTATAATAAGAATGAATAAATTATAAAAATGAAGTTTTGCATCACATCAAGCAGCATATTGACTCAAAGCCTATAACATTTCTATCCTATTGAAAAACATATTGAAGAAAAAAAAATCAACAAAACTTTTATCTAAGGCACTTCACACCCAAAGGAAGTTGACTGTCCATCTACTTACCTAAAAAGACTCAGACTGAGGTAAATGGAAAGGACCAAGAACCTTTTATGAGGGTACCCGCAAATGCATGTATAAATTCCCTTTCCAAATTTCTTCAAAAGGGAAGGTTAGAAAAAGCATGAATAAGCTAAGTGGTTCTTCTTGGCAACATAAGGAGAGAGGTAGTTGGTGATGGTGGCAGAGGTGACAGGTATATCAGCTGGAACAAGTATTTGAGGCTTCCTTGAAGCAATTCTTTTCTCGGCTACATTGGCATAAAACAGGCCAGAGATGGCTGGAACAAAGACATCGCTCTGAGAACATATGTAGAATTCTATAACCTTTTCAAATTGTGAATCTTTTGATTCAAGGAACTTCCCCTTTTTCTCCTCTGGCAATATGCTCTCCTACAACAGTTAAAATAGCAAAAAAAGGGTTTTGAATAATAGGAATAGCAAAGTTCTACTTCAAGACTGAGCTTCAAGCATTAAAAATTGTGTAAAAATTACAGACTAATGCAGCATGCAAAGGATTTTAGAGAAAACTTTCGAAGTTCAAGTTGAAGAGTCAAAATTTAGATAACAGGGAATCCCTTACGAGCAAGACCCATATCTGTATTACATGAATAACCTTATGCCAGTTGATTTTCAAAATCAAGCATTGCATATAATGAATGGTTCAAGAAGCACATTGAAAATATAATTGGTAGAATTGTTATCAGATAAAAGAAGAATTTACTCACCTTTATGTATGTTTTAGGGAAGATATCTTTCAGGACACTAAGACTGTCATCCCACCTTGATTGAGTCAGGTATATGGTGGTATCTGTATCAAATCCAACTATAGACACCCTATTTTGTTCAGGATTCTTTGTCAATTGAGAGCTCGATTGTAGAGATTTTTATTCATTTTTTATTTTAGATTTTTTATTTCATATTTATCATTTTTATTTTCTATCTATTGTTTATTTTCTTTTTCTTTCTCCATTATCAGATTAATTTTTTTTAAAAAAAGCTAAAATAATGAGATTAGGCTTGGTGAGGATTGTTATAAAAAAAATTAGATATGCTAATATTTAGCTTTGGATGATAATCAAAATTGAACTGAAAAAAAATCACTTGATTTTATATATCATTACAATTCATATTAATAGAGGAAGAGGGGGGAGAAAACAGAAGCCAAACAAAAGGGGAAGCCCCCATCGCCACCAAGCCCTCGAGGCTTCCCCTTGGTGGGAAACCATGGGTTATATATACAGCAGGGTTGGATCGCCTATCAATTATGGCTTTATATATCAACAATGAGAAGGTAAAAAAAAACAGAGGAAAAATCGAGCAAAACCAAGAAATCCAGTAGCCGATTCAATCACCACCCTTAATTTAGTCGTCATTCTTTGTTACGCACTACCTAAATCGGCCACCTATGTCATCCTATCCTACTACCATTTGAACCACTATGGTGGTCTATTCAGTCCAAAACCACCCACCAGCCTAGTTCCCAATCCCAGCAAACCAATTTCCAGAAAACATAAATCCAACTTTCAACAAGCCTCAATTATCAACAGCAAGCACAATCAAACCCAGACTAACAAGAAAAAATAGCAAATCATCCCGATCGAAGTACCTACCACAATGGTCATCTTTCTTATGACAGGCCATACCTCAGCCATTCACCTGTTCTGGCACTAAAGTCACTTCAATTGCCTTGTTGCCCCCCATCATCAAATCTTCACGAAACTGACACCTCCCAAAATCAGCAAACTTGGGCCCTGCACATAATGAGAGGTCACAAAGCAGTTAGAAAAATATTTTTTAGGTTCTTGCTCTTCCATCTTTAAATCTACTTAGTAAGGCTTAGTTAGAAAAAGAAGACAAAAAGCAAAGTCAAAAAGGCTATTTTGGGTAGTGGTAACAGTAGAGGAAGTTTGAAATTATAGTGGTGGGAAGAGGCCTGGTTGCAATAGCGAGCAGCAGTTCAAGAAGGATTTTTAGAGGCTGTTTTAGAATAAGAAGACAAAGGGAGGAGAGAAGAAAAATGGGGAAGAAATATATAGAATAAGAATCTGAATAGGAGAGAGGAAAAAAGTAGTGTCAAAAGGTGTTCAATCTTCTGTTAGCAACTTTACCGCCTAAAATAGTATCGAGAAGGCGTGGGCTGCTTTATGAAGTCGGTAACTTGCTCGCTGAAATGTTGTTTGAAGCGGTACAGTCTGGGTGATTGTTATCTTCCCTCATTCGATAAAAGAATCCAACTTTCAAGAGTCAGATGAAGAAGCTGATTATCTAGTTTGAATGGACTCTGGTTCCATTTGAATCTAGCAAAGACTCGATTTGTATTAAGAATCTATAGAGCATCGGAGGCGAGTAAGATGACTACTTTTAACGCGAAACTTTAAAGGTAAAATCTCCCACTCTAAAGGAATTCTGAAGGAAATAGATCACTTTTAACCAAAAAAAAGGTTTAGCCCTTCCCTTCGTTCACCAGAAAGAAAAGAATGAAGATGAGGCACTTCCTTCGTCAAGTAATACAAACCAACGAACAGAAAACAGCAACACGACGCGAAAGGCAGTTGCTGATGCTTTGAATGCTTTGGCACTGTATTCAAGCAACTTGATTGCAAATAGAACAGCTTCAATGATAACAGTACTGAAAGGTTGCCAGGAGATTGCCCATGCTACGCCTTGCCTAGTAGTTGAAGTGACTAGGTTTGTTGTTGAAAAGGAGATGGGTGACTCTGTTGGAACATTATATATGTATTCCGATCCTGTTGCCAGCTAGTTTGATTAGGACAGTTTTCCTGCCTTTGTTTACTACCGTCGCCTTTTTTCTTGCCTCGGACAAGGGAGGATATTTCTTAACTTCCCGATTAGATGTTCCTCGGTCTTGGTGTTTGCATAACCAGTCCTCTATCAAGCACTGGTAGAAGCTGTGGGACAAAGCGCTAACTAGAAAGTGAAAGAAGGAAAACCAGTCAGGCAATGTAACAAGCCAAAAGGGAGCAAAGGGCCAAGAATTGATGCACCTAAATCCGTCACCATCTCGTAAGCAAATGTGATGCAGAAAGCTATTCATTTGTTCTCGTGTTGGACACCAAGTTTAAACTGTTTCACAAAAAATTTTGATTTGTCGAGCATCTTTTAAATAACCTTTGAAGATAAAAAAATTAAAAAAATATTTTTTTAAAAAAAGTTAAAAGTATCAATTTTTCTTGAAAATAAAATTTTTAAAAAATATTTTTGAGGAAAAGTTGAAAGTATCAATTTTCTTATTTTAAAAAAATGTTTTTGAGGAAAAGTTGAAAGTATCAATTTTCCTTGAAAATAAGTTTTTAAAAATGGATTTTTGAGGAAAAGTTGAAAGTATCAATTTTCCTCGAAATTAAAGTTTCTAAAAAATATTTTAGAAAAAAGTTGAAAGTATCAATTTTTTCTGTACAAAAGCAATCATTCTTTTTCTTCTTTTTCCTTTTTATTTTCTTGAATTTTCTTTAAATAATCCGACGATAGAGCTTCTACAAGTGAGATAGTAGTTTTCTTATATACTCTTGAGGTGAGAAAATTTTCTCAATTTTTTGCTAAAAGTATTAGAGTCAATTGAGAATAATTTTCAATAATTAATTACTTGGTAAATTTTTAAGACTTATTGGATAACACAAAATTAAGCTGGTACCATCTTTTGATGGGCGTTATAAGGGTGCTATAACCTTCTTCACACGTAATCGAACTTTCGAATCCTGTTCTAGTTAGTAGACCCGAACCTATTTTTTAGGGACCCTTAAATTTAGGTGTTCCCTAAAATGATAGATTCTTTAAGTGGTCAATCGCACCTAGATAAAAAAAATTGATAACGACTCCTTCAAATTAATGTCTAGCGATGGATCTCTGAATCTAGACGTCATGACACCAACTTTCCTCAAAACTAAAGCAATCTCCTGTGCATTATAACAACTTTTTGCTCCAGTTGAACCACTTCCGTGACAATTCTTATTCTCTAGTATCTCAACACTCAAGTCGACTGCTATAAACCGGCCATCTGATTTGCAACTCAATGTTCTAAGCCGTTCAATCATTGAATCAACAACTCCATTAATCTCTGGTTGCAACTCTAAAGTTCCAAACATTCCCAAACATGCAACTGAATCAACACTACTCTTTTGTGCGGTTTTTCTCATATTTACAGTAGGGAAGTATGTTGCAAGCCTTATGTTGCCCTTTGATTTAAATACTGGTTCTACATTTTCCACACAATCTTCAGTGACCTGATTGGGAACTTTCACGGCAGCAAGCTTCCGGATTGATATTTCATTGGGTAATTCTTTTGCTATTTTGACAACCCAATCCAGGCTTTTCACGAACTTCTCAACGTCATAAATATCTTCAAAGTTTCTGAAGATTTTCAATTACCTTATTAACATTCAGATTTTTCACTTGGATTCACTGAAATTTATACTACTCAATATTCTTCTTTGAATAACAAAAAATAAAAAATTTATGATGAGGGAAGGTTAAAAGAAAAGGAGATGAGAGAATAGGAGATCTTCAAAATTAAAAAGAGCACTAACTTTTCATCATCAGGTTTGCTTCCTCTAATGTGAGGAAGTACAAGAGTTGCGGTTAGATACCTTGCTACCACTACAGCATCAGCTATCTGAAGAGGCAATCACCACAGAATAAATAATAGATTAGCTGGAAAACAAGCAAATGACTTTCAATAGATTACTATTCATAAATATCCGGCACTTTGTACCATTAAATTCTGTGTAAAATAATCAACTCATAATTCAAGATTCCATTCCAAATCTAGATACTTAGCAAAACAAGAGTTGTCAGCAAAATAAGCAGTAAACATCAATATTAAAGATTTTAAATTATTTAGTCAGCTCAAGAACTGGAATTTAAGGTTTTACAGTTATCAGATTCCCAGTGGAGGTAGAAGTGTTAAACTAATTTTTAAATAATTGCATAAAAACAAAAGTTGTAAGAAACTAGTCCGGTTGAAAAGTAGCGCAAACTTTAAGAGAAACCCTGAAAAGATAAAATTGAATAAAGACAAGCAAACTTTGTGGAATTTTTAAGACAAATAGCTTCCTGAAATTCCTGATTTCACATCAAAGTGCATCACAACTAGACTAAAGTTCCCCCTTTCTTACAATCAGCAGATAACATGTTACTTCAGTATTAAGAACACCTCATGAGGTGATGGCTAATTGCAAATAGTACCAATAATAACGTTCATTTACTCATTTTTAATGTAACAAGTTCACAATGACCGACAGTTTGATCTATCAATTTATTTATAAAGCTCAAATTCAAAGGATGCAATGGAAAGGGATCTTTTATACACATTAAACACGGTTATGTTGTGAGAGAACAAAGACAAAAAGGCAACAACAATGCATCTTAATTAGATACCTTTATAAATAAAATAGATACTAAATATACCTGAGAGACATGGTACTCTGGACCATTAGTCAATGAGAAAGTAACATACCCTCCGGACTGCTCTATCTCATCTGTCAGCCAAGTAAGAACTTAATCAATTAAACAGAAGCATTAACAGAAATGTCTGTCTGTGAGTGCACAATAATATTGAATGCTGATTTCTGGACAAAGATATATGCATATAGACAAATTTATTGAACACTTGGTCATTTTTTGGAAGTTGGTTGAAGCTATCAAACCAAAAGCCGTCCTGCTCCAGCATGGTTTTAGCTCTTGACTATCCTTCATCCAAGGCCCTTTGCTCCTCTTAGAAAGCTGCACAAGGCCATCCTTTTCAAAAACATTGGCACTGTCAAATTGAGCATCCTGAGCCTCCCCAGGAAGTTTTTCCTACACAATAAGAGCAGGAAAAAAACCATGTAAATTCAGAGTAAATAAACCAAAGCTGTATAAGGAATTGAAATGAAATCAAACAAACGTTGCAGCGCTTTAATCACCATAAATAAAAGATAGGCACAAGTAGAACTTAAAATAATAATAATAATAATAAAACATCTACAATTTCCTCTAGTTGGCTACAGAAGCTTGAGGATGGAAATTATAAATCTGACAGACGCAAAAACCTTCACTCATCTAAACTCGGGATCCTGAAATAACTATTAGACTTCCCAGACTAAAGTTAACTTGAAATGGGTCGTTTTTCCTTCCTGATTCAATCTAGTTTCCAAGATACTTCACCACAACTTTAATGTTTTCAAATTAAGAAGAAATTTCAAGTTCAACCATGGTTTCTTCTTGATCCATTAACATTTACTTGTGAAAAAATACTAACTAAAATTAGACGCAAATAACCAAACATCTATAAAAGACAACACTTTTAAAGATCATGGTCAGAATAATATTCTTCTTTTAAAGTTGCAGATTTGATGTCAATGAGACTTACTTCCATAGAATCAGAGATTCACAAAACCAAAAAACAACTAAACATATAAAAAAAATGTTATAAAAAGTAGAGAAATTGGGAAGTGGGTTTACTATAAAAATTCAATTTTTTCAAAACATAGATGAAAAGAATTTATAAACTTGAGACCACAGAGTAATGTAAAGGAAGAGGCATTACTTGAAGAGAATCAAAATGGTCTCTTTTGATCATTTGACCAAGCATCACAAACATGGTGAGAGTGAGTATACCAGCCACAACCTGCCTCAAATCAACTCCCATTTTTCTCTCTCAAAATTCTGTGGGAAGCAAACACAAAAATTTTAGACCTGAAGAGGTTGGTTTAACAAGAAGCTATGTTAGTGCAGCAGCCTTAGTATTATTTTTGGGTCTCATACAGCACCGACAGTTTGCCATGAAAATGATGTGCTGCCTGTTTACTTTCAACATTTTTTTGTCCCGTTTAGCCTTTGTTACTTTTCTATTTTCTTTTGGAGAAAGCTTATATGCAGTTCATATGGGAACTTTGTTTGTAATAATTTATAAAGTTTTGAACTTTAAAATTTAAATTTTTAAAATTTATTTTTATTGAAATAAAATTTTAAGTTGTAGTTTTCAATTCGCGTTTTTCTTTGTTATAAAAAATTGTGAAATATTAAAAATTTTGTAACTCAAAATAAGTTAAATACTCATCAAATATGAAAATTTTAGGATTAAAAAAGTTTTTTTAGCAAATATTTATTGTATTTAGTTTTAAATTACATAAATTTTAATTATATTATTTTTAATAAATTTTAACTTATTTTAATATATTTTTACTATATTAATTTTATGTTATTAGTTTTATAAAAAAATTATTAAGTTAGATTCAAACTTAATTATTTAAATAAGTTTTTTTTTTTGTGAAGATCAAAAAATTTTAAAGTTCCCATTATAATTTATTTATACTAATTAAAATAATATTAACTTTGATATATTAATTTAAATTATTAATATTATAATTGATTAATATAAATAATAACAATATTATTAATAATTAATTATATATAGTAAAAAGTAATATATTAGAGAAACTAAAATATTTTTAAAATTTAAATTTTGAAAAAGCTCAAAAAAATTAAAAATATTTTTTGTATTGAGGAGATTAAATTTTAAATTTTATATAGAGACTAAATTTTATATTTCATGAGAATATAAATATTAAATTTCAAATTTTGTAAATTTCAAATTTTATATGAGTATACAGACCAATTGCATAATTTGATAATTAATTTCATCAATCTTAATTATCACGTTAATAAGTCAATGTCATGTCAACATAGTCAATGCTGATTAATAGCCATGTCAACTATTTAACGAAAATCAAATAACACTGTTATTAATTTGATCGATATTATTAAATTAAATTAATATGAAAATCTAATTTTTACAAATTATTATATAAGGACTAAAATTTAAGGTTCATATAAATATAAAAATTAATTGCATAATTTGACCTAACCTCAAATATGACAAATTAATAATAATCCTCTAGTAAATTAATAACAAATGCTTACTATCAATATTGTGCATTTAAAGTTTATTTGTAAAATATTTTTAATAAAAATTGAATTTTAATTGACAAAAAATCTATTAATTGGATTAATTCTAATTGGTATATCACAAAAATAAAATAAAAATATATCTCATTTCTCTCCTTTCTATTTCTTTTGCGATTTAAAGAAAAGATAATGTTTTCTGTTACTATCTCAACTCAATTTATAAAAAAAAAAAAAAAAAAAGAAATGTGTATTTTTTGTGCTTTAATGTTGTAATAATTAGGCAAACTTGGCTGTGGCATCACTTTCTTTTTATATATTTTTTAAAATTAAAAGCTCAAAAAGGTTTTTAATAAATGTTATATTCTAAATTTAGCATGTCATGATTTGTTTTTTATGTTATACTAATTTATTACCCGTGTAATACATGAATTATCTTTATTTATTTAAATATGTTTAAATATATAAATTAATATTATTTAGTCTCTTAGATATTCAATATATATATAAAGTACAAATAATATAATTAAATATCAAAATATAATAAAATTCAAAATTAATAAATTCAAAATATATAATAATATTTAAGAAAAATGAAATATCCAAAAGATTTATTTATAAATAGTATTATCGAGTACACAACAAAATATTAAATTGAAAATCAAAAGTTTTATCAGTTCAAATTAAATTTCCTCAATTTATGTTATTTTTATTTTATGCAATATTTTTTATACACTTGCAAGTTTATATAATTTTAACATAAGTTTTATTTATTTAGAAAAACCATGATTTTAAATATTTAAATAATGTGCGTAATAGCTTACTCACATGTATATTTTTTGCATGAATTTTAATAGTATCTTGATTTTCAATATTTATAAGATTTGCCCAATAAATTTTTATACTTGTTTTAAGTTTTGCATTTGATGCAAAATTGAATAAAAGTTGAAATGAAATAGTTTTAAAATTTAAGTAATAGTATTAAATTTTAAATAATTATTTTAAAAATTTATTGCAAAAAGGTTTCAATGAAAATGTGTCACTTCTCATTCACAAGATTTTTATAATCAATTTCAAAAGTAAAAAAAGTTTACTTTAACTTTTATTACTTACGTTTCACTTCAAAAAAAGAAAAACAATAAGACTATAAATGAATTAAATTATAAAAAATTAATTTCAAATAATTAAATATGAATTTATTTTTATATAAAACAATTATGTTAAAATTGGTATTGTGTTTTTGTTATTTGTCTTTATTTATAAATTAAAAAATAAATAAAAGAAAAGTACAACAAAATCAACTATTAAAAATAAACATATACAGTCTTTTCTAAATAAATAAATAAAACCAACAAATAATGCCTAAATAATTAAATCAATATTTTTTACCTTCAATTGTCAAAATGCTTCAAAAGAATCATTACTGTGCTAAATCGATCTTCTTCCTCCGCTCCAACATCCATAAATTATCAAAGAATTTCTATAACGTCTATGCATACACTCTAGAACAAATAAAATATTTAAAATTTTCATAAAAATTTCAAAAAAAAAGCATTAATCTTAACTTTTTAACATGAGGGTGCACAGATTATAAAAATATAATAAAAAATTATGCATCTTATATAACAACAAGTTATAAAAATAAAATAAAATAATTTGTGCATTTCACAGGTTAAAAAAACCCATTTCTTTACAAATATAAAGGTTAAAAAAATAGAGAAATAAAATTAATATTGACAGTATGTAAAGAATAAATTATCTTCTAATGTATGTGATATTTGGTCTTTTTAAATTGAAAAATAATCAAATAATGAAGCATTATTATAAATCTCTAAAAATAAAAATTATATTTTAAAATTTTAAATTTAAAATGACATATAATTAAATTATTAAAAAATTTATTTTATAATATCACTACATTTGAGATTTTTAGATTTAAAAATATATATTTATATTATTAGAAAACCTATTTAAAAGATAATATATCACTATATTTGAAAATTTTAAATTAAAAAAAGATCTATATTTGTATTATTTGGAATTACATTTAAAATATATATATTTAAATTAAATTTTGTTGCTAGCAACTTAAAAATAATTAAATTGGTTTTTTACTTAAATTTGAAAGTTTTGAATAATTAAATAATTTTTAAATATATATTTTTTGATAAATGTCCTATATTAGAAAATATCTTACACATCATTATTAAAAGAAAAATTTTAAGAATTTTTCTACTTGTCTAAAAGAGAAACCATTCACCTAAATTTTTACATTAATAAATTTTATCAAGTTTTTTATATATATTATAATATAATATTATATATGATTTGACATTATTAAGATTTGACTCCTATTATTAAAATTAAAAGTTTAACGCTCTAATAATGGAACACACAATTATTAGAAGTATGTCATGATTTGGCTAATAAATAATAAATTAAAACAACTGTTTTTTTTTTTTTTTTTTAACTATAATTGTATTGTTCCTCTCATATTTGGAAATTATAAGTTGAACCTTCTTCAATCATAAATCATAATCATAGTCATTTTAAAACCACTCATGGAGGACTCAATAATTATTACCTTCCCTTCTTAGAGTAGAGGTTTAAAATTGTAGGCAAACATAGTGTTGTGGAAATTTACATTGCTAAAAATAGACATAATTTTATGAATTTGTCTTTTATATATCGTTATTATATTTTTTAAATTTCATAAACAGTGTAAAAAAATTTGATATGTGTAGCTTTTAATTATATTAGTTTTAAATATATTTTAATTAAATGTGATAACTCTTTAATTTTTATAAAATTTAAAATTTTCATCAGTGATGTACGAAATATTTTTTTTTATTTTATAAGTATTTTATCTCTATTATAAGAGTAACAAAAAAAACTATTAATTTAATGATAATAAATTCTAAATAACAATGGCTTAATGAATAATGCATTAAGCAACATTTAACTTATCTCTAAATAAGTTAAAAATAAATGAAAATTTTAAAATTATTAAAAGTTAAGAACTTGAACAAATTGAAAATTTTCAAAGATTTTAATCAAACAAAACCTCTCATTTCAGTAGATCACATCTATATGAAATTGAAAATTAATTCTACTATTGTAATAAAAGAAATTGAAATTTCCAATTTTGCTCTATTAGCCATAAAATTGACATTACTAAAACATATGAAAAACATTATAACTTACACTATGTGTAGCACAAGGAAAGCACTAAATTTTTATTGAGAAGAATATGTTGATATGGTCTAACTTAGATGTATACCCTTCGAAATTCATCATGTTGATTAACTCGATAATCTCAAATTAGAGTCCGCAATACCAATTATAAAGTAAATAAGCAATAAAAATATAAAATTTAATTTAATTGATTTATATAATTATTTTTAAGTGTTAATATTTAATAGATTTAAAATTTAAATCATACGACCTCTTTTCTTATCTAAAACTACAACCTCCTTTTATAAAAAATAATAATAATATCAATTTTTTCTAGTTTATTGGAAAAATTAATATATAAACTTGAACTTCAAACAAACTTTGTTGTAAGTTTGGTGTGTAGGGAACTTGTTTCAGAATTATTAACATCCTTCCTCTTGAAAAATGAGTCAATAAATTTTCTTTTAAACATAACTTAACATGGCTCTACCCAACTATGGAAAACATAAATTAAACCTAAATTGGCAATCAGTGCAACAAGTGCTTAATTAATTTTTTTAAAATTTAACTGAATCGATCGTTTGTCTATCTTTACTTAATTCAACCATTATGGACGAATTTTTGCATAGATGAGATTGAAATTGATTACGCAATGGCTGAAGAAGGCCTTATGAGGCTAGCTATCTTCTCTCTCTTTCATTGT